AGGGGTAGCCACCGCCCGAGAATTGAAAAGTGCAAAAATCTGACAAAAAATTGATGATGACCATTTTCAAGGATACCAAAGGTCCCCTCCTTATAAAATTTATTGCTGTAAATACTACAATAAATGGGGCCGTGTATGCAGGAACCCCGAAGGAGCTGCGTCCTCCGGTTGAAAAGAAACGTGGGGTCAAAATAAAGAGTTGGCCTTTTTTTAGACGACAACGCGCCACCTAATACCTGGCTTTTTGCGAGGGTTAGTGCAGACGAAAATCGCTTTACCTGCACAAACCACGCCCCGTGCAGTCCAGACTTGTCCCTTAGTGATTATTATTCGTTTCGAAACTTAAAGAAAAACATCAGGGGAAAACGGTTTTCGGATGATAATGAAATCAAGTCGTAAATTTTGGCATACTTTCGAGGTAAATTTTAATGAGTTATTGCTAGTGTTAATGTTAACCTACAGAACTGAAAAAAATCACAGCATTCTAAAAGTACTTGAAGTTTGTTATTTCATCAAAAGTTTGGTCAGAAACAGTGTGGAACATACATTTTGAAAATTAATAATAAAACACCCACGTACTATCCTCGTATTTAAGCTTCTCACCTCATTTGCATAAATCGTATTATACCAATTTTCGGCGATACGGGCTTGAATAAACTTTATGTCTGTCGCGAATGTGTCAAAATATGCAAATTAAGTGATCACCTATAAAAAGTCGACATTTCGAAATAACTTTTGACCTTTTTTTCTTATCCCGCAGTTGTCCAGCGTTCCATCTCGACGCGGTTTGTGTTCTCCTCCTCGCACGCCATGCATGGGCCGACCTTCTACGAAAATGGGGACCCCGACCCCCGCGGGGTCGAAAGTGTCAACTGTTCCGTCCCCCTGCAAGGCGAATGGGTCATGAACAACTCGACCAACTTCACGTGGCCCGGGACAAAAACGAAGCACCGCGCCTCCGTCACCGCCGGGGCAGACTTGGTCCTCAACCCGGACGCCACGGCGGATTCGACCTTCGGCGGCGCCATCAAGTTCGTCTTCCACCATACCTGTTCATTTTCATTCATTCATTTGACTCATTATGATGAAGATGTGAGTGAAAATGACTGAAGGATTCCTTCATTTCGGATGAATAACTGTGAATGAAAGGATTTTTCACTCCTTTTTTTACCCTGTATGCTTAATGCATGGGGTGAAATGAAGTCCGATGAAGTAAAGTGAAGTGAACTGAATTTTGACCAAAATGATTGAATGTGAATGTAAATCTTCAGTCCAAAAAAAAACTTTCTTCATTCAAAATTCAGTCATTCCGATTTCTGATTTTCATTCACATTCATTTCACTTCGCTTCATCTAACTTCATTCTTACTTCGCCCCATGTATTAAGCAAAGGAGCGAGAAATCCTTTGATTCACAGTCACTCATCTTAAATGACTCATCTTAAATGAATCGTTCACTCATTTCCATTCAAATCACAGGAATTTCATTAATTTTCATTCTCCATCATAATTAGTCACATGATTGAAAATGAACAAGTATGCTTCAGTCAGAAATCAAATCGGGATGACTGACTTTTGAATGAATGAAAACTGAATTTTTGAACAGGTTCGTCTTCAACGTGCCGACGAGTGCCGAACTGCTGAACTTGCACCCGCCTTGGTACAACGACTCGGGCAAACCGTACACCATCGAGAATGACGAGATTCGCAAAAAGTTTGGGGGTCGACGCACCTGGACGTTGCAAAACGGGTCCTACACGAGTCAAGCGCCTGGCGGGGCTATATCAGCTTGGACCGGGTGGGACGACTATTACGAATACCCGAGCAGTGGTAACACCAACAAACCGGAGGTAAAAGGCAGGAAAATCGGCGATTTTCCGACTTCGTACTACAACTAATTTTTGTAAAACCGGTTTTTATAACCTAATTTCTCCGAAATATGTTTAACCCCTAAAGTTTATTACACTTTAAATTTTACCAAATCAAATTTACAAAATTGTTAAAAGTTGGTGTAAAACCGGTATTTTAATAGAAAGTGGAAAATCGGTTTTACGAAACCTAAAAAAATCGAAAATCGATTGCAGGAAAGTATCCCAAAATCAAAATAATAAAGAAAAACAATTTTTCAAAATTTCAGGCCCACTACCACGCCGCCGTACAACGCGTCCTTAACGAATTCGACTGGGAGACGTATCGTGCCCACGCGGCTGACCGAATGCCCGGAGCACCACCGTGGGTCGAGCGCTGCATCCTCTACGATAAGACGCCCGGGACACAATACTTCGCAGCGTATGCGCACCCCCAAACTTGTTCACTTTTATTCATGTCACTGATTATGATGAGAATGAAAATGAATTTCCCATTATTTGAATGAAAATGAATGAAGGGTTCCTTCATTTCGGATGAATGACTGTGAATGAAATGATTTCTCACTCATTTCATTTTTCACCCTATGCTTAATACATGGGGCGAAGTAAGAAATTAAGTCAGATGAAGTGAAGTGAAATGAAATGAAATGAATTTGAAAGAAAATGACTGAATGTGAATGAAAATCTTCAGTCAGAAGTAGGCATTACTGTGAACAATGAATGAAAAAAGTTTTTTTTTGAACAGGTATGCGCACCCCTACTACGACATCACCTGTACCGGCATCGACGTCCAGTTTGATGGGAAGGGGTACACCCGAAAACCGCCGCGATTGGCAGAAATGATAAATTCCGATACGCTTGAAGGCCAGTTCCCCTACGGGGCCAAGGACACGGAGCAGATACTCCCGATCACGGGGCGTTGCCTGGACTCTATTTGGAATACGGAAGGCTACGGCAGGCAGAGATTCGCGCCACCGAAATGTGACTCCTTCTTTGCCCAGCACAACATAGTCAGCGTGGGTAAGTTAAGGATCGGGTGGATAAGAAATCAGGGTATGCTACCCCGGGTTTTTGGGGTATTGGTGGGTTTTGAGTTTTGGTTTCAAAAATGAGCAATACCCACGGTTTCAAAGTTAATAAAGTATAGTAACAGGGCTTTACTAACAATTCTATGAATTAATTAGTGTTTAAAACTGAATTAAAATGAGATTGTTTTCAAAGCTTAACACACGAGACACTGCCTCAATTTACCCCGATTACCCCAAAATTACCCCTTGGGTAAGGGTTTCAATAGCAAAACCCCGTAGTTTTCCTTACCCTGCAAGAAATATGAGGTTTCAAACGAGGAAATATTTTGCCCTGCAAGAAATGCAAGGTGCGTGAACAGGGTGGACAATTAATGGGTAGATAGTCCCTCCCTCAACCAGTTTTTCTCAATAGGGGCTCTCAAGAGCTGCTGTAAGCTGGTCCCAAATGTAAACAACTCAAAATTGGGCGATCGACTCGGAATTCAAAACTTAAGGGTTTAGTGACCTTAAAAAATTATTCCTATTATATTTTCATCGCCATGACCTTTTTTCGACACGATATGACCTGACTGGAAAAAATTGGGCGATCAATTCGAAATTCAAAACTTAAGAGTTTAGTGACCTTAAAAGTTATTGATACTCTATTTTCATTGCCATGACCCATTTTGGACAAGATATGACCTGACTGGCTAAAATTGGGTGATCTGTTTGCAAATTTAGTGCATGGATTAGGTCGGAAACAAGTCATGGCGATAAATATAGTAAAAATAAATTTTTAAGGTCATTAAACCCTTAAGTTTTGAATTCCGAGTCGATCGCCCAATTTTTGCAAGTCAGGTCATATAGTGTCGAAAAAAAGGTCATGGCGATGAAAATATAATAGGAATAATTTTTAAGGTCACTAAACCCTTAAGTTTTGAATTCCGAGTCGATCGCCCAATTTTGAGTTGTTTACATTTGGGACCAGCTTACAGCAGCTCTTGAGAGCCCCTATTGAGAAAAACTGGTTGAGGGAGGGACTATCTACCCATTAATTGTCCACCCTGTGCGTGAAACTGCTCCCTAGTACCGCTACTTCAAACAGCGCTTGGCTAGATGGCGCATATTTCCTGCGACTCGCATTTCCTGCTTCGCAATGAAAGCAAACAGTGAAAAATATCATGATTTTTGCCCCCATACATAAATTACAGATCCCGCGCTGGGAGTGGTCAAAAAAACGGTGGAAGCCCAGAGGAACAACGGCGCACGGATCACGCACGCGAAAAGATTGAAGCAAAACAGCGATAGGAACGAGATCATTTGCGATTTGGTTAAGGGGATGCGTGAGGCCGGGTTCAAAGAGTGCCCTTTGGTCCCCCCGAGACCCTTCACCATCCTCACAACGTTTGCCCCTGGATGTGAGCCATTTTCAGTCATATATAATTGTATATACAGTGGCCGCGGAAGCGTGGGTGTGGACAGAGACACAATATCGCCTAGGTTCTTCGATGTCCCCATCATCTGTCCATCTTATTAAACCCCTCCCTCCCCTATCCCGCAATAGCAATGTCCGCATCTTCCGCAGCCACTGATTTCATGGGTAAAAAATGTCTGTGACAAATTCTTGCCCCCGTTTTCCGAAAAAAAAACAGAAATTGTTTTCCCTACGTAATTATGACCTAGATAATTAACATATCGTACTGCCGTAAAAAATAAATTATTTCTCATTTCTGACAGCTAAGGAAGATTTACTTGAGAAAAAACTTGCAGCCCGTTTCAAGATGACTTTCAGAAAGTCGAACGCGTACAAAAGGGGCATGATGGCGGCGGAAGATCCCTTCTCGCTCTTCGTCTGGGTGAGTCCGTTTCATTCACGTGAACGACTTCCGGCAGGGATGGGCAAAATACTGGGTTTTTTATGGCGGCAGAAAATTCCGTCGTGGTTAAATAAATACTTATGAAATGTGGTTTAGGTCCACCTTTCCCTCTCTTTCGTCACGGTGCTTCTCTTCATCGTCGGGTTGACGCGACAAGTTGGGAGCAAGGCGATTTTCGGCGTCAGTTTGAGCCACTCAGCCACCGCGCATCGCATCATGGGCTGGACTTCCGTCGTAATTTCGGTCCTGCTCTTTCTCCTGGGTGGAATACGACCGATTAAGAGAGAAATTCGGGCAGTCACAATTATTATGCATGGCGTCATGGGGTTCTTGTTCTACTGGCTGGGTCGTAAGTACCATTTTACGACGAAGAATGGAGCCCTCCCAACGGATGCGATCCGATGTTGAGCAAAAAAAGTGTTAATCGATCGCAAATTTAATTAGGATCAAATTTGCAAAAGGACATGATCTCCCATCGGGCACGTTTGCAAATTTTGCGATTTTCAAATTTCACCCCGGGTGAAAAATTTAAGGGATTTTATGCATAAATTAGGCTGGGTTTTATGCAGGGAATTGGCTGGATTTTATACAGAAAAATTTATGCCGAAACAATTTGTGCACAAAATATGCAGAATTATGCATAATTGGGCAAAACCTTTCTGCAGAATATATCTGTCAGAAGTTTTAAGCAGAATCGTTCATATTTTTTCTGCACAAACCATTGTTCCGGGCACTTGTGTCGAATTATGTCAAATTCGACATACAATTTTGACCCGGGACATTTCTGATGTGATTGTGAAATTAGTGTCAATTGATGACGAATTTAATTAGGATGAAATTTGCGAAAGACACGACCTCTCAAGGGGCACTTTTCGCAGGGATATTTGCATCCGAAGACGAGAAAACGCCCAGTAAATTTGGAAAGTATAAAATTTGTCAATTTTACGACGCGTTTTCTCCCCTTGGGATGCAAATATCTCTGCCAAACGTGCCCCTTGAGAGGCCGTGTCCTTTGCAAATTTCATCCTAATTAAATTTGCGATCAATTGACAATAATTTGCTCAAAATCAAAGAGCATCCGCTGGGAGACGTCCGTTGTAGGACGTTTTGTGACCTCTGAATCCGTAGTGGCGTGCATGATAACGGCGAACGCGATTCCCGGCTCACCCGCGGCCTACCAGGATTTTGCGGTCCTCTCTTTTTTTGGACATCTGGATAAGGAGGCTGTCTTCCTCATTGTAACGTTTTGGATCCACTTCGATATTGCGATGCACGTCGTGATGACGGTATGATTCAGACCGTATGCATTGAGTGGTTATCAATTTTGCAGTGGTTATCGTCATATTTTTTTTACTTGCAGATTTTGCAATGTCGCAGTGACAAAGAAATGAAGCTGACCCAACGTCGTCTCATCCTCTTCTCGCCGATTCCCGTTTTCGATGAAAAGGAACGATTCGACGCGCCTGTGAGAGCAATAAATATGGAAATCGTGGAAATCGACACATTTTTAAGCATTTCTCCGCTCTCGGAATTTATTTTAAACTTCTGGACGACAAATTGATTGATGGAGTGGCGCTGAGTTTTTTGAGCCAGTTTCGACGAGTTCCAGGTTTTCTGATGACTTCCTAAACTTGAAATCTCCTCCTTCAAAAAGTGTCCAAATCTTAAATTAATTTTTTTATAGAAATATCCACTCCAGATTTTGACACTTTTTGGCGGAGGAGATCTCAAGTTTAGGAAGCCTTCAGAAAAATTGGAACTGGCTCAAAAACCTCTCCGCAATTCCATGAATCAACTCACTGACTGCAAATTTGTCGTCCAGAATTTTAAAATAAGTTCCCAGAGGGGAGAAATGAATAAAAATGTGCTGACTCGACGATCTATTTCTACGTTAATATTTTTGAAAATTTATATCAAAATTATGGAAATTATTGATCGAAGGGTCGTTTCGCCCGGATTTACATGCTGACCGCGTACATAGCTGTAGCGCTGATCTGCACCGTGACGATCTGCACCTTCATGCTGAACTATTCCCCGCGGAAGAAGGGGCTCGGATTCATGTCCTGCACGCACGAGGGGACCGACAACGAAATCCGCGAGGAGTACATGTGTTAAGTCATCTTATCACGGAAAAATCGCCTATTAGTCAAATCGACCCCGCGTAATTAATTTATGACGAAAAATGAAAAAAAGGACGTTCAGAACTATTTTGTCATGAAATATTCAATTTAAGTGCTAAATATGTACCTAATATAATAAAATAATAAAAGTTAAAAAAAATTACGAAAAACCGTGGTATTAACCAAATTAAGAGAAGGTATTTAAATCAGAAACATATTTCTTTTAATTTCAGTTTCAGCATAAAATAGAATTTTGAGAAAAATGACATCAATCTAATTTATGAATATTTGGGGTAAACTTTATTTTTAAAATAATATTTTGGCGTTTAAGTCATTCATGAAATTTTATATTTTGATAAATTTCATATAGATTTTTTTTGGGCTTAAGCAGATTTCGCATGTTTGATGGGATTAAAAATATTTATCGTAATAAATTTTCAATGATTTTTAATTACATGTTTTTTTTGGATCACATCGTGGCGCAAGTGTTAAAAAAATTCTGTAATCGATCTCAATAATGGAACCGATTATGATATTGACGTCTTTTCGTGTCATGTTCGTATTGACGGAAGCGAAAATGAAATCAAAATCATACAAATAAATCAGACATATATTTTTGTCTTTATAAAATTTCAGTTTCAACATAAAATAGAATTTTGTTGACAAATAGTACACCCACCAATCTAATTTTCTATCTAATTGGTTATTTGAGGTAAATTTTATTCAGAAAAAATATTGTGGCGTTTAAGTCATTTATGAAAATTTATATTTTGATAAATTTCATATAGATTTTTTTTGGGCTTAAGCGGATTTCACATGTTTGATGCGATTAAAAATATTTATCGTAATAAATTTTCAAGTATTATTTATTCGTCATAAGTTTTAATTACATGTTTTTTTATCACATCGTGGCGCAAGTGTTAAAAAAATTCTGTAATCGATCTCAATAATTGAGCCGATTATGATATTGACGTCTTTTCGTGTCATTTTCGTGGTGACGGAAGCGAAAGTGAAATTAAAATTATTAAAAATAATTCAGAAATATATTTTTGTTTTTATAAAATTTCAGTTTGACCATGAAATAGAATTTTGGTAGTTATAATGCGTGAATCCATCTAATTTGTTTATTTTAGGTAAATTTTACACTAAAAACAGATTTTGGCATTTAAGTCATGCATGAAATTTTATATTTGCTAATTTTCATATAGATTTTTCGGGTTTATGCAGATTTCGCATGTTTCATGCGATTAAAAATATTGACCATAATAAATTTGAAAGTATTATTTATTCGTCAAAATTTGTACATGGTTTTTGGACCACATCGTGGAGAAAGTGTTAAAAAAATGCTGCAATCGATCTCAATAATGGAGCCGATTATGATATTGACGTCTTTTCGCGTCATCTTCGTGGTGACGCTGAATTCGCGCAGGACGTGGGACAGGACAGATTTCATTTGAAGCATGGCGTACTTTTGGCCTAAATAAAAAATTGAGTTGAGATTAGTGAATAATTTGAATATTTTTGTATGATTTTATGTGCACTGTTAAAAATCTGGTAAAATCAGATATATTCTCCGTACTGGTAGCATACCTGTTCACTTTCATTCATTTGACTGATTATGATAGTGAATGAAAATGAAACTACTGTCATTTGAATGAAAATGGCTGAAGGATTCAGTCATTTCGGATGAATGATTGTGAATAAAAGGATTTTTCACTCATTTAATTTTTCATCCTATGCTTAATACATGAGGCAACGTAAAAACAGTGAAATGAAATGAATTTGAAGGAAAATGCTTGAAAATCTTCAGTACAATCATTAGTACAATCACTTCCGGGTTTGCTTTGTTTCCCTGAAGTTTGTTTGCAAAAATTTCATACTTGTTCAAAAATTTTGGTTTTCATTCAAAAGTCAGTCATCCCAGACTGAAGATTTTCATTCACATTTAGTCATTTTCTTTCAAATTCATTTCATTTCACTTCATCGGACTTCATTTCTTACTTCGCCCCATGTATTAAGCATAGGGTGAAAAATGAAGGAGTGAAAAATCCTTTCATTCACAGTCATTCATCTGACGTGAAGGAATCCTTCAGTCATTTTCATTCAAATGACAGGAATTTCATATTCATTCATTATCATCATAATCACTCAAATGAATGAAAATGAACAGGTATGCTGTTGATCGACGATTTAATGTAAAGTTATTTCAGAAAGGATCAAAGTGATATCTATCTAATAAGAAAGCAGTTAATTTACCGATACAACTACGGGGGCCTTTTGAAAATGGGATGTACGAGTAGTTGTGTCTCTTTTTTACTTCCGCGGGTAAAAATCGGTCCGGGTCGAATTTTTCGGGGTGCGGAAATACGGCGGGATCGTTGTGCACTTCGTACACGAAAATGCCAACGTCCGCTCCTTTCGGGACGAGGGTTCCGTCATCTAAAAATTATTAGAAATTTCATAAATCAAAATAATGAAAATAAATCTGAAATATATTTTTTTATGAAATTTCAATTTTGTCAGAAAATATCATTTCGATGAAGATGGCCCAAATCTAAGTTGTACGTATTATGTAAATTTTATTTTTAAAATTATTTTGGCACTTATATCATTCATAAATTGTTCCAAATTACAATTATTTGAGATTTCTGGGTTCGGCAAAAGTGCAAAATTTACTTATTTCTAAATTTAGTTGATGAAAAATGCAATTGTATGAGTACAAAAATTGGGAAACGTTATTTAATATAATTTTTTCAATTTTAGTTTCGTCAAAAATTAGAAATTTAAAATTTAAATATGTATATGGCCATAAAAGGATCTATTTTACGTAAATTTTACGTAAACTTGATAAATAAATATATTTGGGCATTTAAGTCATTCATAAATTGTTCCAAATACATTCATAAATTGTTCCAAATACTAATTATTTGGGAAATCTGAGTTTGGCTAAATTTCTAAATTTTTTTTTTCAATTTAGTTGATGATGCAAAAATGTAATTTTACGAGTGCAAAAAGGGACGACGTTTTTAAATATTTTATTACAATTTTAGCTTCGTCGAGAAACTAGAAATTTATGTAGTTTAAATCTGAGTTACACCCCTGTGATCTAATTTATGAGTAGTCTATGTAAACTTGATAAATGAATATATTTTGGCATTTAAGTCATTCAAGAATTGTTCCAAGTTACAATTATTTGAAATTTCTAGGTTGGCTTAATTTCAAAATTTCCTTATTAGTTTCTAAAAACATGTAAGATATGTATGCATGCAAAAAAGTGTAACGTTTTTTGCCATTTTTTGGTTTGGTTTGGTCTGGTTTGGTTTGGTTTCACTATTTTGCAATAATAGTAAAAATTTGGTCGAGAAATCAATCTTACAATGAAGGTCTCTCAGGTATGCTTTCCGATTTTGACCAAATTATTGTGAATCCATCACAAGTTTTAGTTAACACAAAATTTACAAAAAAAGATACTATTTTCTAATGGGTCCATTTGGCACAGATATTTGCATCCGAAGAGGAGAAAACGCGCTTTAAAGTCGACAAATTTTACTCTCTACAAATTTACTGCTCGTTTTCTCCTCTTTGGATGCAAATATCTCTGCCAAACGTGCCCGTTGGGAGATCGTGTCTTTCGCAAATTTCATCCCAAGTAAATTTGCGATCGATTGACACTAATTTGCCCAAAATCTGTGAGCATACGATGGGAGAGACCTCCATCATCAGTTATAGAATTTTTGTACATTACCGAGAACAATATCGGTCTCCAAATTTCTGGAAAACATTGGTGCCGGTGGGAAGTGCCGCATCGTTTCGAGAATGCACATTTCCATGTATTTTAGTTCTTTGATGTCCTTCGCAGTGGCGTCTCGTCTGCGGAAATTATTCGCAAAAAAATATATTCAAAACTAAACCAAGTTTTTCTGTGGAAAATTTTCATAATTTTGTGGGAACTATTCCCAAATTGTTACCGGTCCCCGTTAAAAACTTCGTCCAATTCTTGATGTACTTTTTTCTGACACGCCGGATTCAGTGCGAGGAGAAAAAGCAGAAAGTTCATCGCGGTCGCGTTTGTTTCGAAGGCCTGAATAAAATTTGGTTTTGAAATTTCGAAATTTTATATGTAAATTAAATTTCTTAAATTTGAAATTTATTTTATTTTGTCTCACCGCCGCAAAAATTGTGAAAGCATGATCCACAAGATTTTGATTTGAGCGAGATTCCAATAAAACGTCGATAAATGCTCGGGACGCGTCGTCACCTAATTTTTCAAAATGCAGAAACCGAAATTTTGTATTTTTTTCAAAATTCTACTTTTTTAACTTAAAAATTTACCTGGATTGTTTTTCAGGCTCTTTTTACGCCCATCAATAACCTAAATATTTTTTAACAAATATTTTCATATTTAAAATTTACAAAAAAAATATTAAAATTTTGATTTATAATTCCACCTTAATCATAAATTTTGTAAAATTCTTTTTCGTTTCTCTCTCTATTTTTGCAATTCCGAGAATATTGCGAACAATTGGGAGGCAAAGCCAAGGTTTTAAGCCCCTCGTTCTGTATGACATCATCACCCTGAAGAAAATTTACAAATTATTCAAATTTAAAAAAACACAAAAGATGAACGGTGGTCATAAAATTAAAATAATTATCCTGGAAATAAATTAGGAATTAGCTAATACATAACTTAAACGATTAATTACGGAACTAAACGTTTAATTAATTAAGTTAAATTTATTAATTTTTCAGCCTCACTTTGAAGAAAATTTTGCAATTTTTCAAATTAAAATAAATTGGTCAAAATATCCGTGAAACACATTGAAACTAAAATAGGTAATCGTTATAAAATTATATTTCGAACCGGTTAATACATGAAATTACTAATTGATTAAGTTAAGTTAGTTAATTTGTCGAATAAATTGTAAACCTCCCGTTCTGTAGGGCATCACCACCCTGAAGGAAATTTTGGAATTGATGGCATTAAAAATGACCAATAAAGATAACAAGGCCATCATCTCCAAGTAAAAATAATCATCATTATCTAAGAATATATAAGTTACGATCCGGTTAATAGGTAGGTAGGTAGGTAAATTTATTAGTGCTCGATTGATGTGGCCACGGCCTTTACAATCATATACAAAAAAGTTTCATAAATTTGCTTAAATATATAGAGATATTACTATTTCGATAATGATTTAGCCTAGTTTAAGTATTAAATATTAGCCTAATACTGCATCAGTATTATTATAGGCTTCTCTCGCCTCAGTAGCTTGAGTCAAATAATGCTTAATACATTTTAATTTAGTCTCATCTAAATCGCCTAGAAAACTTACAAAATCGTTTCTACTTGTGGGAAGACACTGGTCAAGTTTGGTATTAAGTACTTTGCGGATTAAGTTGTAGCATGGGCAAATACATATGACGATCCGGTTAATAAATGAAATAATTAATTAATTAGTTAAATAATTACTTAACTAAATGTCTAATTAATTAAGTTAAATTTATGAATTTTTCTAATCAGATTTTAAGCCTCTCGTTCTATGAAATTATTAATAAGTTAATTAGTTGATTACACATTTTGCTAAATAAATAAACAAAATTGACAAATTTCTCTAATTAAATAAGATTTCTTAAAAAAACTTACGATTTTAATCCTTCATACATCACATGCCCCTCGCCAACATACCCTTCGGAAGATTCTGATTGAATATTAAACGTGGCACCAAGAACGCTCTCTTAGGTAAAATATACATAAAAAATTGCAAAAATTAGTAAAAATTGCAAAAATAATAGTAGCATGAATTTAAAAATTCCCGCTCTCTTATTAAGGAAATGAATACAAATTCAAAAAAATTAGATCCGTATTAATTTAAGAACTCACGCTCTGTTATTTTAAAAAAATAGACAAAAAATTACCACAAATTTCAAAAATTAGTAAAAAAAAATATCAAAAATCAGAGCCGCATACATTTAAAAATACACGCTCTCTTATTAAGCAAATAAAAATTTAGCACAAATTGTAAAAATTTGCACAAATACAAAAATCCTCATGAATCGTTGATAAAATCGGTGTAATTTTTCTCCTCACCGAAAATGGTGTCCATCGTACAACGACAAAGGGCCGGATGCAGATCGACCTTTTGATCCCCATTTTTGAAATACTTTTTCAACACGGAGACTAAAATTTTGCCATTTTTATTAAAAGAATCCAGGAATCCGTCAAACCGTTGGTATTTGAAGGATGGATTTAGCAATTTTCTGTCTTCACGCCATACGTCGCCTGCAGAAAAAATGGAATTTTGAAATTTTGAGAGGACTAAACGCCATAAAATTATTTTGTGAAAAAGTAATATTATTAAGTCACGAGTAGGTCAAGTTTTCGTGGAACTACAAAGATACAAATTTCGGTTTATTCTTGGGCAAATCCGATTGAAACGGATCGGATCGGGTTTTTTGAAGAATTAAAAAAACGGATCGGATTAAGCTTTTTTCAACAAATTGATCGGATCGGAGAGTAAATTATTTTTTGCCTATGTGAATTAAAAAGTAAGCTATATATTACTTGTATTTTGCTAATTAGTTACCGTATTTCTGACAGGAATTTAAAAATTATTAAAAAGTTTTCATATTTCAAAAATCACTTTTCTACTCTAGCTTTCATTTAACCTAATTTTTTAAATCAAAATTTACCCCCTGACGTAATTAACCCGTTTCCATTCATCCAGTGAAGTTGGTGATAATCCCGACCTTTGTTGATGTGCTGGTTGGACGAGAGCACGTGCTAATTTCATAAAGCGAAAAAAAAATCAGCAAATCAAAAATGATCTATAAAAACCAATTGATTTTTATAATGTATACGTGCAGTGGCCGCGGAAGCTGTGGGGACATCTGGGGACATTGCCCCTGTAGGATAGGGGGAAGGGGTTTATATAACATGGGGATATGATGCGGACATCGAACGACCGTGGGGACATTGTCCCTCTGTCCGCACCCACGCTTCCGCGGCCACTGCGGAAATTCTGACCTCGATATCCTTCCCATCTACGAGGATGACGTACGGATTGTGAAATTTCCACAGGCGGAAACGTCGCCCATACTTTTTTATTAGGCCAGCAATTGTTGGAAGTACGTCTGCAGGCATAATAAATAAATTTATTTAGAAATCAAATACTTAAATAATAAATAAAATATGGGTTAAGTTTATGTACCATTAAAATTAAAATTTGTTTAGAGGGAAATTTCGACTAAACGTTTTACATCCTATTTAGTTTTTATGTTTGCATAGTCATAAATAAAATATATTTTCAATCTCTTGGACAATGATGATCAGAGGGCGGCTATCCATTTATTTTCAACTTTTTCACTAGATAGCGACCGATGGTCAAATATTGCGGGTGTGTCCGCTTACTCGAATACAAAAATTTCAATTTTTTTACATATTTCTAAATATTTTCGATATTATTTGAAAAATACGGAAATCTTTGAGTTATTTTCAAACTATATATATTTTGTAAATATTTCTGAATAAGACTGAATTTCATTTTTCAATTTAAAACAAATTTTTCAAATAAGTGAAATTTTCTTATATCTGTTAATTTTCACCCAGGCACGGATAATATTAGATTTTAGCAAACGGAAATAAATATGCACATAAAACTTGTTTGCAGCCGCAGGTATGTAGAAAGAAACCAAATCGATTCAATCGTATTTATTTTTTACCTGGAATGAGTTTATTTATATAATATAAAATTGTTTTAAATCTCGTAAACGACGTGAAACTATCTTTTTGTGGTAAACGTTATCATTATGCTAAACTAAATAGTTTAGATATTTTTTAAACGAGTATTTCAGGTTTTTTCTAATACTACTCTTTTTCAAGCTTTTTTGCCCCATGTTTCGGAGAAAATTGTAAATTTTCTGGAAATGCTTATATTTATGTTTTTGAAGTATGTAAATCTTTCAGATCTTTTTTTTCAAACGTACATTTTTTTGTAATTATTTCAACGATATGAGACGAAATTGTTTTGCTTAAAGAAATTGGATCACAAAAAAATCTAAAACATTAAATTCAAAGATAGAAAATACAAAATTTTGTAAAAATTTTGATTTTTTTTGCATATTGCATAAATGTTTTTTTTGCAAATATTAAACACGCATTTAAGCGATTTTATTAAATGCATATCCGTCCTCTGAATAAATAAACTCACTTTTAGGAGGTCCAAGGAATAAGTAGGCATTTCCGGCGCAAGGGACGAGCGGGGGTCCGGGAAATTTGCCAAGTAATCGAGACATCCGACTTCCGAACATGATTTTCCAATAGGACCAAATGCATAGGCCGATAAGACAGTACGGGATAAAATATGCGATAAATTGAAGTGTTGTGGACAATGCTGTAAAAAAAATATGAAAAGATTGTATGGAAATTTAAAGTCAAAAGTTTTGAATGATACTAAAATTAAAATTAATTACTTATACTTTATTAGTTAATTATTTACTTAATCATAGTTTAGAAAATTATTAATTTACCGAATTGAATTTCCATCTTGTAAAATGCAATGTGAAATTCCCTTGTCAAAAATCAATTGTAATAAAATTGCAATTGTTTTAAAAGACTTTTTTAATAACAACTTTTTATGAAATTCTTTATTCTAGCAAAGTTCGCGGAAATGTAAATAACAGTGTAAAAAATTCAGACAATTAATGAACAAAGCTGCGAAATTTATTTTGTCAAAAATCGCGTGTAATAAAAATGCAAGTTTTTTTAAGACGATTATCTTTCGAAAATATTAAACACAAATTTCACTCTTTAACTTGAAATGCTTTATTTCAGCACAATTTGAAGAAATGAAACAATTTTCAAAAATTTAGAGGAATGCACAAAGCTATCCAAATTTCAGGGAGCGACTAAAGGAAAATATTTTTATAGGCGTCGATGTTCCTTAATAGATACGCGTTTTTATACCCCATAAAATGCATCGAATAAGGAAAACAAAACAAAAAACAATTTTCTTCCGTCATCCGTGTAACGGAAGAATAAAAAAAGTGTATATACAATTAATCAGAGAATAGAATGTTTGATGCAAACAGTTATTATTCGGAAATACTTGTTATCTAAGAGACTGAATTTGCCATTAAATTACATTTATAATACAGTTAACTAACGAAGTAGTTTGTTAATTAAGTTGTAATATTGTCCCGGTTTATTACAGAATCTGGGTATCATCCCCAACTCCAGCGTTTCTCAGGGCTTCTAAAAACATATAAATAATATACAAATAGATAATTTCAAATTTCAATAAATTAACTAGTTGTAGTGTTTCGTTTCTTGCAGGCTTGCTGCATTTCTTGCAGTGCAAAGCAAGCCATGCGAGGTGCAAGAAGCTGGGAGAAAGTGCAAGAAATATGTGTCATCTAGCCATTTATCGCAAATTTTTATTAGCCAATTATCGCGGCGGGCTTAGTTTTTTGCGCCGCGCATTTCTCGCAGGTGAAACCATCTACAAGAAATCACTTTCTTCCATCCGAAACACTAATAATTTTGAGTTTCCGTTTTTTTCAGAAATTTAAAAACCTAGCTAAAAAATGTACAACAAAACAAACTCACGTGCCGCATCTAAATGTCCGCCATCTACCAAACATCTAAGGAGATGGCTTCCCTTGGCGTCTCTATCGTATCGAGAAGATCTCCACTGAACTAACACTTTACTGATAAAATGATCCGTCGTGTCCACGCCCATTATCATCCGGTGGAGAGCTGTATGAACGTCGCCAGGCGGCACGCCGAAATTTTCGTGAAGTTCCGCCAAACTTGTGAGAACGGAGGGAGTTCCTATATTTGAGGCGACTCTGGATGTCGTCATTGTTGCCTGGACTTGTACCCCGGGTGTCAGTGGTGGCAAAGGTATTTCGGCCATGGCGTAAAAAATTTGTATGTAAATAGTTGAAAAATTCGAAAATTTTGGTTAATTTTTAGTGGCTAATTTGGCAATTTTGTATACTGATGACAGTTGCAGAGTAAGTTATTTACTGGGGAAATCTAACGTTTGACCAAGTTTGTGCGTAATTTGTGTGTGTTTTGCAATGGTTGTATAAAATATTCAGATAAAAAATACGAAAAATTGTAATTTTGAGTAATTATTTGTGGAAAATTTTACAATTTAAGTAACGACTGATGCGCAGTAAGGGATTTTCTGGAAAAATCTGACCGTTGATGAATTTTATTTGCAATGTATGTTCATTCAATACATGGTTATCTTTGGAGCGATAAGCTACTGGGAAATGATGGGCTTCGGTGTATTAATACAATTACATATTTTATTTGCATATGTACATACAACATGCTTATCTATGCAAAATTCGTTACCAAATCGTCGCAAGTTTTATAATGACGTTTTGGGCGTTAAAAAACTACTACTGTTAGGCGGATGTCAATGAAAAACGTGGAATTAGGTATTTATAATTATTGAAAATATTAAAAAACTATATTTAAAAACACAATCAAAATAGTGATTCGAAATTATCTATCACAAAATAAATATTTGCAGAATTTTTCATGTTATGATTTAACGTCGGTGTGGAAAATAAAACATTTTGATATTTATGATTGATTGGAAAGATTACCAGTACCATCCCATGAATCCTAAGCTAATAAAAAAATATGCAAAATTTTAGGTCATGAAAATTTTACGCATTAAAAAAAATATGGATAAACGCGAAACATTGTGTTTGTTTCTTCTCTAGTAACGAATTTTTGCCTATAACTTTTTTTTCGCGAAAAAAATTTGCACATGATTTTTTTAAAGAAAAAACTTTTTTATTTTTATTACACCCACAATTAAACATTATTACAACAACGATTACATACATCCATACAACACATCACATGACTTCAACAAGCTAAATACTAAATACCATTGAACACCTACTTATTCATCTACGTATGTACGTATGCAAATTTCTATTGTTTTTTGCAGTGCGTTAATTTTATTAACTTGTCCGTACTTCTGCTGTTTCAACATCGTCAAACATTAATTATTTCTTAACAATTCTGTCTAAATTTTAATCTCAACACAAAATTGAGACAAATTTATTTCCTGTAACATCACAATCTAAATAATTTCAAGAAAGAAATCAAGAAATCTTTTTTATTCGTTTTTTTACTCAATTTTTTATTTTTTTGTCAATTTTTTTATAATTATTATTTGGAAACCCAGTCGGAGCAGTTTATGTATGCTTTTCATCTAAAATCGAAAAATACTTAAAGCTGCGAATATTTCAACGCACTTTCGCAATATTTCATTCAACTGTCTGCCCACCAAATTGCACTGCAAATGGGGTTTGATGTATGTAAAATTTGCAAAAACGATGATGCATGCATGACACAGAAGTTAAATAAATAAATGCTAATAATTCGCCAATTGTATTTAATCGTGCACTTAAAATTGATACGTTACAAATCATACACGCATCACAAAATCGGTCTTCTTATCAAGCCAGCCAGACTTATCGGATACAAAATAAAAACATGCAAATAAAACTGAATTGACCAGGAGCACACAGTTTATAGATGGATAAATAATATTGTCATTTCCTGTTTCTTTATGATACAATGACTCGAAATAATTTTTACATTCAAACATCATGCACAGTTCAAAAATTGGAAGATATCAGATTTTGGACAGAAAGGTATTGAATTGTTTTTTCAAAGATTACGTATTACGTGTGCACTGTAAAACATGTCGCACTGATTTCGAATTTCATGCAGAATTTGAAATTTTGATCAGCCTGAAATGCATTTATGAATCTTTGCATTGTTAAAAAACATGTATTGAACGGGGATTATTTTGAATTAGTGAGAAATAAATTTTAAGCACGTGATTTATTATTGCAATATTTATAGACACGTTTTTAGACGTCACGTCTCGTCTTAACTGTTAAAATTAAATTAAGATTATCTAAATTAAATGCCAATTTTCCCCAAAATTTGTATCTATCCATCCAGTATGGAGCAATCCAAGTTGTACTTTTTTCTCAAACTTTCTGAAAATCAAAATTATGCATGTGTAAAAAATAAAGACTAAAATCACAATAAAAAAACTCATTATGTTTTCGCAAATTACTTGCAGCCTCCATAAAACAAAGCCCGTCAGCGTCTTCTTTCTCCAAAATGGTGATCAGACCAGCGACGGTGGCGTTATTTCCGTTCTTCCCCTTCCATGAAGTTAAGACCTAGTTTTTGACATAATTTTTGACATTTTTTGAAGAAAATTTGATGTTTAAAATGGGTCAAGTTGAAGGAAACAATCAGTGCGGGTTTTGCTACATTTCGTGCATTGCAAAGTAAGCAATGCAAAAAATGCAAGAAACTGGGAGAAAGTGCAAGAAATGTGCCATCGAGCCACGCGCGTATGAAGTATAACGGTGGGAAGTAGTTTTTAGTATCTTGCATTTCTTGCAGGTCAAAACAGTTGCAAAAAACTGTAAGAAATTCAAGGTGAAATAAACAGCAAGAAATTCTTGGTGCAAGAAATTCAAGATGCAAGAAACTGGGAGAAAGTGCAAGCAATCCGCGCCACCTAGCCACGCGCGTATGAAGTATAGTAGCGGGGCGCAGTTTTTTGTATCTTGCATTTCTTGCAGGTCAAAACAGTTGCAAAAAAAAGGAAGAAATTCAAGGTGCAAGAAACCGGGAGAAAATGCAAGAAATGCTAGCAGCCATCTAGCCAAGAATCGTATGAAGTATAACGGCGCGGCCTAGTTTCTCGTGCCGTGCATTTCTTGCAGGTCTAAATATGTAGCTGCACGAAACCACTTTCTTCCAGTTATTTCTTGCGCTGTGCATTTCTTGAACCCGAAAGAGTGGGAAAGATTTCAAAATTCGCGAAATAAAAGAGCAGGTCAAACCTTTCGGATAACGTCTCTCGAATTCGTTGACCCATTGTTAAACTTGTCCAGAAATTGTTTCATATCGCTTAACCTGACTTTTGGAAATCGCGGGTAAAATGTGGTCAGATTTTCGATAATTTCATCACTTGTGTTCAAAATTGAGGCTATGTCGGACACTTTGACATCTCCAGTGATGAGAGTGGGGGTGGGTTCATTGGTGGCGCTAGGAGCAGCATTCTTGTGTAAAATAAGGAAATGATAATTTTGTGAGCATTTTAAAATTTGACGTAACAATGAAGGTCCCCCAGCGTATGCTCTCCGATTTTGAGCAAATTAGTGTGAATCAATCGCAAATTTAATTAGGATGAAATTTGCAAAAGACGCGATCTCCCAATGGGCACGTTTGGAAGAGATATTTGCATCCGAAGAGGAAAAAACGCGCTCTGAAGTTGACAGATTTTACACTTTCCAAAGTTACTGAGCGTTTTCTCCTCTTCGGATGCAAATATCTCCAAAAATGCCAAACGTCCCCACTGGGAGATCGTGTCTTTCGCAAATTTTACCCTAATTAAAGTTGTGATCGATTGACACTAATTTGCTCAAAATCGGAAAGCATACGCTTGGAGACCTCCATCCATTGTAAGGTGAAAAAATGCAAATTTTAATACCGTTCCCACACTGGCACTGACATTGGACTGGTCACTTTGTTGCGATATCGCGGATTCTAACGCCCTCAAGGCTTTCGTATTTGCAGATTTTTTCAGGGCTTCTTTCACCGTTGGAAGAGCTTCGTCGACGGCATTATTCTTTAGGAAAGTGTACAAACGAAGTGCTCGCCGTTTCGGGTCTGAGTCACTTTCCTGAAAAAATTGGAAATTTAGCCAAAATTTTATGGTAAAATTTTTTGAAGTTTTTTTTGTAGTACAATTTTAGAAACGAGGACTTCCGTGATAATCCCGCTTATTTGGAGCTCAGTTAGTAAAGGCGACGATGTACAAATATCGGTGCACGAACAAAGCTCGGCAATTAAGGTATCCGTAAAAATTTGCATATTTGCGAATCAAAATTAACTGAAACACTGGTATTTTTTCCGGTTTTATTAGACCGTAACTTTGCGAACTTTGCGAATAAAACGCACTTACAAACTTACAACGCAGTTTTTCAACGGTCCGCTCAGTAAATTGCACTGCAAAATCAATAATTTGCACTTATACAAATAGGATTTGATGAATGTAAAATTCGCAATAATAATGATGACACAGAAGTTAAATAAATACTGATAATTCGCCAATTGTATTTAAAATTGACACGTTATAAATCATACACGCGTAACAAAGTCGGTCCTCTTATCAAGCCAGACTTATCGGATACATAATAAAAAAACATGCAAATAAAACTGAATTGACCAGCAAAGATAAATAATATTGTCATTCCTGTGTCTTTCTTTACAATGCAAAAATGAGTTTTGAATTTATTTATGCATTCAAATTTTATACACAATTGTAAAAATTTGAAATTTTAGACTGCTAGACTTTAGACAGAATTTATGGATTTCTTTAATTTTCAGATTTTGCTATGTACATAAGTAAAATAAATAATTGTATGTATTATAAGACGAGTTTTGTAACTAAATATTTAAGTCGACAGAACTATCTAGCTAAATACCCATGAATTACATAAATCAGTCAAAATATGTAAATATTTGGCATATTATTGTCCTACAAAAATTGCAATGATTAAGAATTTAGTCAACTGAAAAGATGACAAGCTTATTGATATTTTGAGTAGATTTGACATGAATAATTTTTGTCTTGTTTTTCATGTAGATTTTTTTTTACAGAATTGATACATATATGATTTTTATTAATTTTTAGATTTTCTAAATAAGTGAAATAAATATTTATGTAAGGCGAGTTTTGTACTCTTAAAACAATATAAATAGGACTAACTGTCTGGAAAATATATAAGTCGGAATATGTAAATATTTAGCATGTTATTATCCTAAAAAAAAGTTGCAACCATTAAGAATTTAGATCGACTGCAATTGAAAATCCAAAATTTTACGTGGATAATTTTTGGCATTTTTGGCATCACATTTTTGATTTTGGCATAATTTTCCAGTGTTTAAATATGTAGCTCTACGATATGTGCACACTTTCAGTCTTTTTAATACTTTTAGAACGACGGTTTCTGATCATTCTTCAAAAAAGGGGGTAGAATTTTGTTCTTTGAAAAAATTTCAGTCACATCTTTAGTTCAGCAGGATCGAGGTGGAAGCTTGACTGGAAGTTGACGCTGTGGAGGACTGTCTGCTAAATCCTAAAAGTTTGCAAAAATAAAAATACAATTTAGAAATCTTATCATTCGTGGTTCGTCAGGTCATGTCGTTGCATTTTTAGCAAAGTTTTGGCAACAATTTATTGCGAATTGTATTTGCATATTTTGTGTGAAGTATGTTATATATCTGACCGACTAGCAATAGTAGATACTTTTTAGAACTGTACATGAGTTCAAAAACTTTCGCAATTTCACAAATTTGCCAATCGTAAATGTGCATATTGTTTAAATTAGTTATGATCTTACTTTGTTTGAGTCTCGCTTTAAAGCTCGAGCTTCTCTGCTGTTGTTTTTCCAGTTTCCGGTTTTGTCCCGTATTTTCGTCCTCATTGTTATCGGGCTGTGCTTGCGCCCCTTTGCTGAGGTAGGAGGCGAGGACGATTAAAAATATGGCTTTCGAGACCAAAGTCATCTCAATTTGTGGATTTTAATTTAATTTTATGGAAATATTGGCGAAAGTAAAATTTTTCTAGTTCTGTGAATTTTTTTTCACATTTTCACCTTAAAATCTTGAATTTGCAGAAATATAACTCTTTAACTTGATAGCACTTTTGTTGCAAAAATTTGTGTAATAAATTGTGCACAAGTTTTAATAAATTTCGCACAACTTTTAATACAATTTTGCACAAGTTCTACTAAATTTTGCACAGATTGTACCTTCTTCTTTAAGGAAAGACGAGTCGAGAATGATGAAAATTTCGCAAGTCAAGCAGAGATTATTATTATTCTACTATTTTTTGCTTGGTTGAATGCGATGCGCAATAAAAGGAGACGCTATAGTCCGAAGTTCTTAGATGCGGCTAGAATAATGGAGGTGAGAGATGATGTTGAACAACAAAACAAGGTGATTGATTGTCGTGCTAAAAAAGAGATGATGGATAAATTGCAAGACTTTGCATGGCGAATTTTATGATTTTGTAGACAAAAAAAAATTTATGATTTTTGTAGACAAATTTTGGTACTGAAGGTATTTTAACGATGCTTGGCCAGAGTACTGACTGACTGCCCTTAGCAATCCGGAATTTTGCGAATTCTATGATTTTTTGTAGACCTTTGTATTATAATTTATGATGAGATTTTTAACTGCAGATTTAGTGAAGAGTGTGATTAGAAAGTTCGAGTATTTATATAAATAATAGCCCTCAGCAATTCTATGATTCCAAAAGTAGCAACAAATTGTACACTTTACATACATAAGTCTGTACTGTACGCATCGCATCTGTTGGCTGGAAGGCACACGTGTTGCACTTTTTTTATAGGAAAGTTGTCCGACCAGCTTTCGGCTTTGGGAGGGCGATGCAATGTCATGTCATAAATTTGACGCTTAGTCGGTATTAACACGAAGGAATCCTCTATGATTAAATGGAATGGAACCTGCCATTAAAACAATGACGGAAAACAGGAGCACGTGGAGGATGTAGGTTTATAAATATTTAAAAGTCAGTCGGCATTTTGCAAGCATAAGGAAATGAAAATTAAATTTGTAAGAATTTTTATCCGGGTTTTTGAGGATGTTCAACTAAATAAAATGAAATTGCTTGCGTCTCTATCGGAAATATGTACGTAAAACTGTGCAAAAACATGCAAAATGTTACGGCCCGTTTGACAAAAAGTTTCGGAAACAAAATCGATTTTATTACTCAAGTAGAAAAAAAGTGCGTAAAACACAAAACAATCAGATGAACAGAGAGTTCCTAATAATATGTATGTCACTTTCACTCTGCATTTGCATAACTTATGTACATACATACTTACGCTTTCTTTAGATCGTAAATTATAAAGTTACTAAAGTTAACATGTTTAAACTTTACGAAGAATTATAATTATAATAACTGACAACTAAATACGGCAAGACCAATTTAATCGGAATGTTTCGATCTTCTCTCCTTGGATCTGGACCTATCCCTTCGTTCCTTGGAGCGTGACCTTTTTTTATCTTTATGGCTTCGCTTATGATCGCGGTCTCGTGGGCTTCTCGATCTCGATTTGGAACGACGGCTTCTCTTCTTCCTGTCATGGTCACTTCCTCGACGCCGGTCGCGGTCGTCACGTCCGGCCGACTTGTCCCTGAAATAATTCGATATTACTAAATTTTGACAGATAATGGAGGTTACGGACCAGATTATTTTGTGAAATAGAAAAAAAGTAAAGAAAACTTTAAAATAAGGAAACTATAAAAATAGGATTTGATAAATTAATGAAAATGCCACATTTTGAGAATCACAATTTTAAAAAACTTACAAAAAAAATTTGTTAGTGAAAAATTTAACGTGACTTTTGCTTATTTATTTACCTTGACGGAGAGTTAGATCTTTTCCTCTCAGATCGTTCTTTATCTCGCAATTCTCTCTCGCGACGACGCGTTTTCTCCTCCTCGTCAAGTCGGGCGAGACGCATGTGATCCCTCCGTTTTCTACGACGCTCTTCCGCAATTTCCTACAAAATCGAGAGCATATAATTAAATTCCCATTTATACATTTTGAACTAATAACGGACACAAAAAATACCTGGAATTCTTTCAACGTTTCCCGTATCTTGATAAATCCGAGGTGCAACTTCCCCCCAAAATGGTCCGCGAGTCGCCTGTCGTTATCATGAATTCCAAGATAAGCACAACAAACATCGCACACCCTCAGTTTTTGTTGTTGATACGTCGCCGCGGGGATGGAGGAGCGATAGTCCGACTCCGCCTCAGATTTTTGCTTTCGCAAAGCGTCAATTTCCTCCATAAGTTTCATACTCTCGTCGACGAGGCCTTCCGCTCCGAGCTGTTCCGCCCTTGCCAACGCCTCTCCAATTTTTTCTCCCAGCTCGTGAACCTTATCCGCCTTCCCGGAAACTTCGGTGGATAGTTCCTCCTGTGTTTCGGCGAGACGCTTGCGAGCCTGCTCCGTCTTACGGTCAGCTTCCGCCACGAAGATGGAGAGTTGTTCGAGCGCCTGTACAACAATTAAAATATGTACATTTAACAATTAAAGTCAACAATTAGTCGTAAAAATTAGCTAGTCTTACGTCCAAATCGTAAAAATAATCCTTCCCCGGACTCGCAATTTCGTAATCCGCCTTCAACGCGAGGTTATGCATCTTGACGCAATCTCCGAGGTCCATCCTCTGCAAGAAACAAGACCAAACGAAACGATAAGTGATTACCCCACATACTAACAAAGACAATAAATCCCAGGGCTAATTATTATTTAAATGACATCAACTTACGGCCGGGACAAAGTGTTTTTTACGAAATATTTACCATACCACCACGAGAGCAGAGACAGACTTAAACCAAATACAACGAACGGGGGCAGAGAGGTGAGAAGTTTCTTTAAAAATTGATAACGACATTTTTTGGACCAAAATGCGATATGGTCAACTTACCACATAAATGGTCAACCATGGAACCATGCACCCACACCGAATTATAATGATATCAACAATCAATCAATATAAAACAAGTATTCATTCATCAGTGATAAATGCCGAATTAATTAATTAGATAATTAACTAACTGACTGACTGATTAACTGACCAGAACTTTAAAAACTGTTTGTGACGATGCCTGGCTCGAGTATAGCGTATGAAATAGCGACATATGATACGACTGACTGGCTACTTTTTTAAAATTATGAACGTGCACTGTTAGAAATCTGGTAAAGTCAGGCAGCTAAGGTATTGAATTCTCGGTAGTAAAGTTGCTACCGCTTGGTATTCAAATTATACGTAAGAATTTCCTACCGAAATGGTAAAACTTTTGTACCGCGCTATTACTATAATTATCAACACCACTTTGGTAAAGTGACTGTGATGATACATATATGATTACCGTTTGGTATCGTTTTAATACTCGATTTCTAAGAGTGCGTTGTCCCAGCCATGCTTACTCATGACCAGTGAAGGAAGTTAGTTATCAACTTTTGTGTACTTACAGCAGCCAGGCGCAATCAAGACCAGCCCTCATCATGACCACAATCTATAAACTGTGCCCTGCCGTTTATTGTCTCTCTGGGATGATCCAGAACCGAGACGAGCTCATCCTTCTCTTCTAGTTAATTACACACCCACGACATTCATCATATTTATTTTAACAACAAAAAAATTAAACAATCGGTCGGTGCCAAGTAAGTTGCAGTGGAAAGAGCAACTTTTTTTCGAAATGAGCAAGGTTCACTTACAAAAATAGTACGAGGTATGGACATTGTTTTGTTTCGATAAAGCCTGAAAGAGGAGGATGTAACATTATAAGAGAGGAATTAGCGAGTAAAAAACAACCTGCTGCGCCAGTAATTAATTAATTATTCATTTTCGTGTTGAATTAATTAAAGGGTTGAAATAAAATTGGTAATTGGAATTTGAGGATGAAGTTTTATAGCATAAATCTCGATTCGGGCGGCGTTCGACTGACTATCAATTTGCGAATGACGGACCAGTTAGGTAACCCATCCATATTAAATGCGTACAAAGTTATTTATACTAACGATCGACACAATAATTAATTATTTTTAGGTAAAAAAACAACGCAACAAGTTTGACTCACCGTGGAGGCTAAAATCTCATGGGGACAACACCCCAGCAAGAAACTCTTACAGACTCGGGGGTCATCGAATTTGATGGATAGTTTTTCCTCCTCTCCTGAAATTCGAAATTGTGAAACACAATTAATTAATTAATAAACAAATAAAACGATGAGTCATTGATTAAATAAATAATAATATTGATTTTGTTTTTTTTTTACCATTGCGACTCGTCCCCATCAACTGATCTAGCATGGCCCTAATCTGGTCGTGTGCAGACATCTTGTCTCAACGCCTATTTTACTACTCAATTTGATAACTTTAAAGTTATTTCAATTAGTAATTTTTAATTTAATTATTTATTTCCCTTTTCAATAACAAACAACGAAAGTTCTGGCAATCAAACAATTCTGCAAAGTTTATCGTTCCCGGTGCGATGGAGCAGAATTTAGTCTTGCTTAACTACTTGCATACGTGTTGCATCTTTGTTGCATGCATGAAATGCCTAATCATGAATGTCGAATTGTCGAATTTGAATTCGACATGAATAATTAATGTCGAAAATTCATGATGAATTTTCGATCTGGCGTTCACCAATTACAAAATTGCTGTTCATATCATGTTGCCAGAAATTATAATATGCATGTCTTGTACCAAATTGAAAAACAGTACGATTAATATTTAAAAAATAATATATGTCCATGTTATTATTGATCTTATAAAATTGCATCAATACATATTTAGCAACGATTTTCATATATTATTTAAATATTTAAGCATCAATTATTACAACAGTATCATAACATTAAAAATAAGTGAGGTATAAACTTTGTCAAGAATTGTAACGCTTAAAGCAACAATTATTTTAAACAATAAAAACCCGCAGAATTTGTAGTGTTTAGTATCGGTGTAAAAAATAGCCTCCACCCGTTCCACAGTATTTGAAAGGCCTTCTAAGATTCCGACCACTAAATCAAAAAAAATTATGAATAAAATAAGTGCACTGAATAATTTATAACATTTTGATGATTCACTTACGTCGACGCCCGGAGGAATAATTTCTCCCTGGTAAATTCTGAAGGACCGGCGGATTCCTCGACCATAAAATCTGTCTCTAAAATAATGTCAATCCCTTGCAACAGTCGGAGTAGTTGAAGGCTGACCAGAATTTTGGGCCATTGTTGGAAATCTTCGAGGCAGTAAATATTGACTTCACATTCTAAATCCTGCATGTTAAAAATAACATCCAATTTAAAGCTGAGCAAGGAACAGGAATTTTCAAGATTATCAGATTAAGTACCCGAATTACAGCATCATTTGTGGAATTTCTTTCTCCATTCCCCTCCTTTTCAAGCTGAATGCAAAACACGGGCGGCGTTTCGGGGAAATTGGGGGTAAGTGTGACCAATGCAGTGACCAGAGCTAGAAAGTATTTAATTAACGTTAAATAATTAGCTTTTTCAGAGCTTCATTTTTAAGCGTCAAGTATTACCTCGACCTCGCTCCAGACATGCTCTAAAAAACAGATTCTCTTCGCTCACAATATCCGTCCGTAAATGTTCTTGTGCAAAGGAGTAGCTGCAATAAGTGGGAAAATTGATTGATTCCCAAGATTTAAACGTGGTGGACAGCTTGGCTGGGAACAGTTCCTTTGCATCGGTTGGAATCTGCAAATTTTTCGCTTCTGCAAACATAATCAGTTAAAAAAATAAATATACAATTAACATATATTAATTCGCTAGAAGGGATGCCTAAGACTGAGCATCTATTCTTCAAGTTAGGTATTGAAAATTGAAATACCTAAAAGTTTTAACTGGTTGTGTAACGTTGCTTGGTTCGAAAGACGCGATTGGATCGATTTTAAGACGTTTTCGATATTAAGATAACTCGTTTCCATCTTGGGACGAGTTAAATTTTCGTAATTTGCATCGTTATGATCCTATTTAAAAATAGAAATCGAGAATGTTAGTGGTTTTGCCCCTTAGAATGAAAACAATTAACAACTGTTACATATTAATCTTACAGTTAAAGGAGGAAATTCCACACCCGCGAGTCTCTGCGCCCAGAGAAACGGTCTGCCCGTCTCGGACACAAAATCTGCAATTTCCTTCGTATCAACTTTTTGAAATAGGTACTGATTTGCAGGATTTGGGCTGTTTAATCCCTTGTCGCCTGGAAATAAGTCTTCCAACAGACTATCCGATGACACGATTTCGCCACTATCAACAGTAACAAGCCAAAATAAAAATAAGAATGGTTTCCCATCAATTATAATTTTATATACAATTATTACGTCGGAATTTTCTTGACGTCATCCACCATTTTGGCCTTTACAGTAACAATTTTGAGTTTAATGAGGTAAAAGAATTGGATCAGTACTGCGTTTGACCCTGAAATAATTTTAATGAAAAAATACAAGTGTTATAATTTTCACGCGAGTTATTTTTATTGTTAATTTGATACCCTTCGAGCTCACGACCCACTCAATCCAGAACGGATGCTTTTCTATTAATTTTTGCTTGGCATCTTCCGGTGACAAGTTAATTGAGCTCTTTTTCCGCATTAATTGTCTTCTTGACGTCTAAAAAGATCGTAAATAATCATTTAATTGATCAAAAATTGAATAAACTTAATATTTACCTCAGTCACATCGGGATCTAATTCTTTATCCGAATCAGAATCCTCTTCATCTTCTTCTGGGGTAACAATTAACTCTTTAGCTGCCTCCAGATTTCCGTGCAGATTAACTACCAAATCTGTTTTTCCGGCTATTAAAAAAGTACAAAATTACAAATAGAGACCATTTGCATATAAAAATACTTGTTAAATATTTGTTATACCGTTTGCTTCCCTGAACGCATTCGACTGAATGAACAAAACATACAATTCTGCAGGAAGATATTGTGCGATCTCGTTTTGTTCCTTTTTCGACGATATTTCAATTCCAAAAATCTGCTGGAGAGGTTTTGTCGCCTCCAGTACACTGTTCAACAAGGGACCAATGCTGTCCAATTTTCCTTGCGTGTCGTCAATGCGTTTGGACGCAGATTCCTTTTCTTTTTCCAAGGAGTTGCAATCCTCAGTAAGTTTTTGTCTTTGAACAAACTCGTACTCCAGTCTTGCGATTCGGAGTAAGTGGGGATCCGACTTGGTAGCTTTCTAAGAGATGATTAATTGAATTATTAGCTCACCCTGCGTAGCATGAGAGCTATTGAATTCCTCTTGTTTAATTGTGCACGCTAAAATACTAATTGATGTCTAAATTACGGTTTTAGTTATCTTCTCTGGGGCCTCTTCATAAAATTGCTCGACGGGAATGAGGTCAATTGATTCATCCTTTCCCCTAAAATTTGAAAAACAATTATGAAATATAGATAAAATACTAAACCAGTTTTTGCAAACATCATGCTTTGCATAATTTCTTCTTACTTGTAATCCTGCACGGCTGCGACTTGGTTTTGCAAATGTGTCGCTTCATACAAAAGGTTTTGAAGGAGAAGGTGATCAGAATCGACGTCATTTCTTACACTGAGCTGCTCGTCCTTGACCGACTTTAGTTTCAATTTCATCATCCGATTTATTAAACGGAGGCTGGATATTTTTACGAGTCCTTCTTCCATTTTTTCTTCAAAATCGTCCTATATCAATAAAATATTAGCATAATTTAGCATCACAGTAAGATAAGATCACACACCAACCTCATCTGTCGTGGGCGCCGACAGCATTGACATAATTTCCTGCAAATTCTTTTCCAGTTGTGCACAAATATCGTGGCCTTCGCTCAAACTTTTAGCTGCGTCCAGAGACTTGGCCAAATTATTTTCATGCTCGACGACGCTCTAAAAATACAATACAATTAAAATAAGTGAAAGTGGGACCATTAATTTCTACTACGAAATCTATATCTTACTTCATACAACTCTTTCTTATCCAACGTTACAGGAAGTGGATCTTTATCCACTTCCATCTTCGATTCTGTGGGTGGCATTGGATTGGTTTTGCTTGAAGAAGAACTGGAAGTCTGTTTCGAACTAGAAAGGTCGGATTTGTTGGGGGATGATGACGACGATCCGCCGGATTTTACATGCGGTTCACCTTCATTTCTGAGCCGTTTTTCCTCCTTGATCGCTAGGCGATCTCTTCCGTCCCTTTCTCGTTCACGTAGGCTACTACTGCTGTCCCTCCGCCCTCCTGAATTGGAACGGTCAAGGCGATCTCGATCACTTCGGCTGGGTTCTTTCGCCATGAAAATATTGTCTCGGGGGAGCTCTCTAGAAATTAATACAATTTCAAATTAAAATCTCGACGTACTTTGATATCCCACCACTTTTATGATTAATACACTTACCACCCACACCGTGTCAAATAATTAATTGATTTTAAGTACAATTAACTAATTACAAATTAATTGGTGAAAGAGCGAAAAGAAAACCACAACTTTGTTGGTCAGCTCTTTGAATAAGCGGTGTCCACTAAATATTTAAACTTCCCGCCGGGGCAGACTTTAGTCTCTTTGAAATTTGTCCTCCACCTCCATTGTGATTTTCCAGGTGTTCGTTTCTCTCTGTTTTTGGGGCACGTTTAATTAATTAATTATTCGCCCAATTCGACACAAATTTTCGACATGATGCGTACCACCAATTCCTCCTCGGACCACGTTCTTTCCCCCGAAAGGACTGGATAAGCAAGTGGGACACATACTAAAACGAAGACAGGAGAGTTTTGGTGGAGTTTTGGACTGGAAATAAATAAATAAGTGAGATTTTAATCAACCAAAGATTGTGAGGTGACGACAAAGTTTTAAGGACTAATCGAGGTGATTTTTGGGTAAGCTGTTATCATATTAGATGCTCAGTTAGTTAGTTAATGAGATGAAATGAATTAATTAATCCAGCACATTTAACTAACTACACCAATTTACAATCTGTCATCTTCTTAAAGACCCGTGCCGTGCTGCCTGGCCTGGCCTGACCAGACGAGACGACGACTGATTGATTGCTTGATAAGCGTCGCCATCGCCGTCGCCGCTGCCATTTCTCCTTCTCGTCGCCATTGATTGGTCGCGCTGCTAAGTACGCTTGTCGCCATCCAGTTTGTCGTCGTCGTTTCGAACTCATCTCGAACCCACGACCACGACGACGAAGAAGATAAGAGAAACTCTGACTCAATTTTATGCATTGCATTTTACTGCTGCTGTTTATAGGCTGATCCCGTCTTGTCACTAGTGTACCTTCATTTATCGTGTTCATTAATAATTATCTGTGACACTAAAATAACTATAATCATTACAACATCATTATCATCAACATCACCTCAAAAAACCTCATCTCTTGACAAAGACTGTGTCTACAGAAGAAAAAAAAACAAACATTTTTTTGATCTTATACACAAATAATTGACTTCCAGTCAGTTTGTTAATTATACTCACTACTTGTCCTTAAAAAACACTTAACTAACATACCAAATATCAAGAGTTCAAAGGAAAGAAAGATTGTTATTTACTACTAATTAAGTAAGTCTTGAGATATAAAAAGTATTATTATTCGTAAAATAATTCAAAGAAAACTGTATTTATTTAATAATAATAATAATAATAGTGACCTGCTTAATTAATTAATTAATTACTGGACTGGACTTCTCAAGAAATCGTGTGCTCGAATCATCATTTAAAGTTTTAATAATAATTTAATTTAATTAAATCTCTGTCTCTGTACCACTTTAAGAAAATCCGGGTGATATTACTTACGACGACGACGAAGACGACAAAGTTCAAAAGTGGTGATTTTGCTCCTCCTCCTCCTCAATTAAGCAGATACAACTATTTATAAATACATAAATATCCATCTATATTTATCTATTTAGTATTACTAATAATTAAGCAGAATACTTATCGTCGACCTAATTAATTCTCAACTTTCCTCAGAAGATTGGTTATCGTCTGACTGTGAATCTGAACTGAATTTATCTTGTGCTGAGCTGAGATTCCTTAAAAAGTTGGGTAATTAAATGACATTTGACCCACGTAAATAAAACTACGGCCAATTAATTAATTAACAATCAAGTGATATATTTAACCAACGACGACTTTAGAAGAAGACAAGAGTGTGACATTGCTATTTACCAGCAGAGTGCCAATAATAATAATAGTAATAATTTTTTTGACGAAAGAAGAATAACTAACTTTTAATTATTAATTAATTGGTGTACCATTTAAGAGACGAGAAGAAAAGGGAGCTTTCCGTGCGGGATTAATAAGGAATCAATCACGTAAAAATAATCATCTCATCGCCAAATAAGAAGACGAAGACGAGACGACGACCCCTGCGCCTAACTGGATAATAAAGAGGAAGAAAGACGAATAATTGACCTCGTATATTCTAATCAAGCGATATTAATAAGGTAAGAGACACGTTTTATTAATTGGTAGTAGTTAATTAGGGTTTAATTAATTGCTAATTAAGGCTTAATTGTTAAGCATCATACAAATATCGACCACCACCACAACCAATGAAAATCGCACTAATTATTTTTCCAAAATACAAATTAAAATTAATAGAAATTCCAAGTCCGAATTGAGTCGCATATCTAAATTTAAGACAAGCTTGAATATCATGATGCCATGGCTTATGCATACAGTTTCCGAAAATCCGAATTGAGTGAGTCGCATAAATTTAAGATAAGATTGAATATCATCACGATACCATGCTTATCTGCACGTCATCACGTAAATTAGCAACTCCGCTCGATTTCTGTGTTTAGTTTATGTTATGCATATAATTTCCGAAAATCTGAATTAAGTCATCTCATCTAGTTCATAAATTTAAGATAAGCTTGAATATAATGATACCATGCTTATCATGACGTAAATTTCGGTATTTTAACAACCCGTCCCGTCTCTCTTTCTCTTGGCTGGTTTACTTTACCCAGATCCACTCTTCTATTTACTTATCCTCTGCATTCCCCACGTTCCAAAACTTGACCAAGTTTTCGTTTACCAACAAAGAGACCGACGAAAGGAAACCAAATCACCGAACCGAATTCGGGTTTCTTCTTTCTCGGGGTTGATTGGCTGCCTGCTGCTGCTCTGCTGTGATTACATTCTTACATTCGCTCTTCTTACTGCGTATCGGACGGGGGATACATTTTAGCCAAACCATGCGCACCGACCCTACCAACCAACCAGCTAAAAACTCCTCCATAGTCTAAGAAGGAAGTAGAATGGTAATGGTGGGAGAGGAGCCTAGTCGAGTGTGACCTTTTTCTTGACACAGTGGCCGCGGAAGGGTTTGGACAATGTCCCCACTGTTGTTCGATGTCCGCATCATTTGTCCACCTAATATAAACCCCTCTAATAGTAATGCCCCCACGGCTTCCGCGGTCAATATCTTCGGAGAAAGGTCGCTCCATGAAATCGGTGAAGTTTACCAATACAACAAAGTATTACGTAAAAGGGTGTCGTGTTCTCGCTCGGAACGGCACAAATGATCATTGGTTCACGTGTAAAAGCAACAGCTATTTATTTACGTACGAATCGCATGGTACTGATGATGATAATATGAATATGGGACACACTTATCTGGCTGGATAAGTGAGTGAAATTTCGCGTCGCGTGGGGGAGAAAAAGAAGACGTGGCATGATTTTTTTAAAGAAATGTTACGCCTCGTGTAAAAGCAACAGCTATTTATGTACGAATTGCATGGATTTTGTCCTTTTGATGATGATAATATGAATATGACGACACTTATCTGGCTGGATAAGTAAGTGAAAAATGTCATCTCGTGGGGAAAAAACATTTTTTAAAGAAATGCCATGCCACGCCACGAGACGGATGAGTTTTATGGTATGCATGGATTTGTACCTAGTTTGTAGTCCCGTCATGAAATATATTATTTACTACTTTTAACTCCTCTCTCTGGCTCTGTAAGTAAAATATATTTTGTGTTTTTTAGCCATTATATGAGAAGAGAGGAGCTAGGCGTGTAAAAAAGTAACTCGTTTTCATGTTATGTTATCCTCCTCTTTAAGCTGGCTGATTCCTCCTCTGGTTTAATAAGATGCAGACTTGGTTGGGTTCGTTCGTGATGTGAATAAAATGTTGTGTATTGTGGATGTGGAGGAGTTGGTTCGGCAGTGCATGTGTAGCTTATTATATACATGGTTTAATGGGTTTAGTTTAGTTAGTAGTTAGCTGGTTGGTGAGTGAGTCCATGTGAGTAAAGTAAAGTATGCAGCAAAAGTTGAATTGAATTTGGCGAGGAGAGTGGCCGCGGAGGGTGCAAGGGGGACATGTGGGGGCATTAATATTGTGTATTGGATAAGGGTTTAAATATAAGAGGGGGAGATGATGGGGACTTCGAATACCCTTGGGGACATTGTCCCTCCACTGCCCTAGCATACGCTTCCGCGGTGAGGACAGTGGCCAGGGAAGCTGTGGGGACATCTGGGGATGTTAACATTGTTTATAGGGGAGGGAGGGGTTTAAATAACATGGGGGACATGGAATACCCGTGGGGACATGGCCCCTCTGCCCTCATATCCACGCTTCCGCGGCAAGGGCCATGGCCAGGGAAGGTTGGGGGGACATTAATATTGTAGGGGGGTAGATAGCGAAGAGAGGGGTTTAAATAACATGGGGGACGTCAAATACCCCTGGGGACATTGTCCCCCTGTCCCCACCCACGCTCCCGCGGCCACTGGACGAGCTGCTGCTGCACGGGATAAAGTTTAGGTTTCATTTCAGTTGACAACATGATAGCCAAGTGCAGCCAGATATACATTGAGTTTTAGTTGGAGAAAGAATAAAGAAAGGTTGCTTGGTTGGATGGATGGATGGATAAAATGTATGCGCTTAGGTTCAGCTTCTGCTAAAGGGAACCACTTTTGGATGGAAGGATGGATGGAAACAAGCAGTTTTATACATACGTATAAAGACCTTTCAGTTAGTTAGCGTTGTTCGTTGGATTGGATATGATGACGATGATAGCCAAGTAAAAGGATGGATGGATGGATGAATTCTCTGCATGTATATAAGTACGTTACGTACATTACAACTCTTGCTTTAACCGAATAACCCAAAGTAAGTCAGCCTAAAGTAAGGGCGAGGTCGATTCACTCACCGTTTCTGAAACGAAATAATGAAATCTTCCCACAATTTGGGAACTTTTTAAGAAAAGAGAAAGCCTCATAGTCAAATTATCTTCTGGGGAGGAGAAAGTCCGAATTTTTTTTTCAAATTTACCCAGAAATTTTAGACCTAGCAAAATGCAACGATTCGTTTAAAGGAATCATTCCATCCTCGTTTTAACCCTTTCCTCCTTTCACTCTGTTGCTATGCTATGTCGCGTACCGTGGTATGAATCGACCCAAGCGTTTGAAGAGCATATCTCCTCCATTCTCTGAAAAATATATATATTCCCAAGTTACCCAATCCTGTTATGTCGTAGATGGATGTGTATATGTATGTACGTATATGTCGTAAAGTTCTCACCCTCCCTCCCTGTTGTCCCACCAACCAACCTCTCCCCCACTCCACTCCAATCCACGGCCCCACAAAACCTAAGCTATACCACCATCAATATTATTATGCCCAGGCAGGCAGCAGAGGCTTTTAACAGAAAATGCACACAAGCAGATCCTCTCTTTTGCCTCTATTCTACTTTAGTGGTGGAGAAGAAGAAGAGAGACGAGAAAAGAATCAGAATCAATACTAATATGGACAAGCCAAAGCCAAATACTTAACACAAAACAAAAAAACATGAAGATAATCTGGGCATAAGTTCACTTCACCCAAGAAGAAATTGACCAAAGTTGTATTCGAGAAGGGGGGTGGACAGTGGACTGGACGGACGTCTTTCCTGAAAAAAAAATAATAATAAAGCTACAAATCGAATCTCTGTACGCCGTATTAGAGAGAAGAGAGAGAGAGAGACGACTGAGCTCAAAAAAATTTGGGGGGGTTTTTGTGAAAATTTTGTGTTTTTTTTTCGGAGAGATCAAGAGTACAAGGAAAATAAAAATAGGACTAAATAATAAAATTCCTCCTGCTAAAAAAGAATGCCTAATATTACATGCCCTTATATATTCTCTCTGCTGATATTCGTCTAAGTCATATATATTTGAAAGTAAAGTAGGTTCCGAACCGATAAGAGAAGGGGTATGAAAAAAAGTGCTTAAAAAACAATATCTCAAACAAAACTTTGTTGTTCCACATACATCCAGAAGAGTGCTATTAATTAATTAAGACTAATAATTATCTTATCCCAGACTGATAACTCTGGTGTTGTTACCTTATCCATTTCTTGGTTATCATCGTTATCATCATCATCATCATCATCGAATTTCTCTCTTCGATATTAAATAACTCGCGCACAACTAACCTCATTGTTACGACAGAGTATTAAAAATTGTGGTGAAAAAGAAAGAAAGAAACACATAGATTTTTAATTTTTATGGAAAAGTATTTTAAAACTAGTTAATTAATTAAGTAATCTTGCCCGGAGGAGAAGAGAGACGAAGCCATTTACACTTATACAAAATTGATACTCATTCATCACTGATAAGCAAGGAAGAAGGAACTGCTGTGTTTTTTTTTCTGAAAAAAAATATCCAAAAAAGAACCCAGTCCAGATTTTGACATTAATCGTCCAATCCAAAAAATCCAGTGAGATAATTATTACTATATTGATAAAAAATATATATATATTTCTGTCTGTGTTCTCTCTATACAAAAAACAATTTTGAAAAAATATATTTTCTAGTTTTACTTTTTAGAGGAAAAGAAGAGAAAGACTTGTTTTTTTGATTTTGGGAGACTAAAAATATTACGATCTACATATGTACAAAAAAGATAGAAAAGAGTGACAAATAGTTACGTTACAACAATAATTAATTGGTGATATTTTGAAGAAGCTGACTTGGATAATTGATAATTGATGAGAGCTAAATAAGATTACTACTGCTAATAATTAATTAATTACTACTTGGGCTTTGATTGATATCGTGGATACTCTCCAAGTAGTATGTGAATACTGCTGCTAAAAAAAGTACTACCTCTCTACATACATAGATACATACACTGCATGGGAAGCAATATTGTAAGGTGAGTAAGTTTTCGGAAATTTATGCAAATTTTTTAGAAAAATATTGAGGTGTTTTTTTTTGTTTGGAGAAGATTAACGTATTTACGTAAGGAATTTTATAGGTTTTATTGCATATTTTTCTTGTTAGGGAATTTTGGCATTGTTTCGTCTGGAATTTTTGCATCTTAAAAAATACATGGTGCATACGTGGGTGTTTTATTATTAATTTTCAAAAGGTATGTTCCGCACTGTTTCTCACCAAAATTTTGATGAAAGAACAAACTTCAAATACATTTAGGAGGCTGTGATTTTTTTCAGTTCTGTAGGTTAACATTAACACTAGCAATAACTCATTAAAATTTACCTCGAAAAATATGCCAAAATTTACGACTTCATATCATTATCATCCGAAAACCGTTTTCCCCTGATGTCTTTCTTTAAGTTTCGAAACGAATAATAATCACTAAGGGTCAAGTCTGGACTGCTCGGGGTGTGGTTTGTGCAGGTAAAGCGATTTTCGTCTGCACTAACCCTCGCAAAAAGCCAGGTATGAGGAGGAGCGTTGTCGTCTAAAAAAAGGCCAACTCTATATTTTGACCCCACGTTTCTTTTCAACCGGAGGACGCAGCTCCTTCTGGGTACCTGCATACGCGGCCCCATTTATTGTAGTATTTCCAGCAATAAATTTTATAAGGAGGGGACCTTTGATATCCTTGAAAATGGTCATCAATTTTTTGTCAGATTTTTGCACTTTTCAATTCTCGGGCGGTGGCTACCCCTCCTGCTTCCATTGAGGGAATTATTATTTGGTCACCGGGTCATAATAGTAAACTCAGGTACCATATTTAGCTAATAAAATATTGAGCAGGTTCAAGTCTTCATTTAATAGGTTAAAATTGGCATTGCAAAAGTCGACTCGATCATGTTTTTGAGATGCCGAAAGCAATTTTCGTACCCAACGGACGGAATCCATTTTCATACCTAAGTCTTCAGTTAACATGGAACAAATTGCTGGTTTTGGAACACCCATCTCATCTGCTAAATAGGACAGTTTCAATCGCGGATCTCTCATTATTGGTTCTTCTAGTTTCCGGAGCCTTTCTGTGGAAGAAACGGATTTTGAGCGTCCTGGCGACTTTTTGCCCGAGACCTCGTTTCGCCATCATTTAAAATTATTAACCCAATTGAATTTGTGTTTTGTGTTGGGCAGTTTTCATCGTAAATTTTAAGCATTCAATCATAAATCTGCGACACGTATTGCCCATCCAGCATTAAAAATTAAATCACACTACGATATTTAATTTGCAAATCTAGCATTTTTTCCGTCGAGGTAAAGTTTGCCGATTTATTGCTAGTGTTTATGCTAACCCACAGAGCTGAAAAAAATCACAGCCTCCTAAATGTATTTGAAGTTTGTTATTTCATCAAAATTTTGGTCAGAAACACTGCGGAACATACCTTTTGAAAATCAATAATAAAACACCTACGTATTTTTAAGTTTTCGGAAATGTGTTTAAATTTTTAGAAAAATGTGGAGATTTTTCAACATGCAAGGAATTTTATATTGGGTACATTTTTCTTATTAGATGACGAATTTTGACATTGTTTCGTCTGGAATTTTTGCATCCTAACAAGACAAAGAATAAATGGTGCATAGTTCCAGGAGTTAAAATTTGTAGAAAAATATTTTGGTTTTCATTTTTTGTAATAGATTGACGTATTTATGTAGGGAATTTTATGTCGGGTTTTTATTACACCATTATTATTTTTCTTGCTAATTTTAGCATTGTTTCGTCTGGAATTTGTGCATCCTAAAAGGAATAAATGGTGCATATTTTTCATACTGTTTGAGTGAGGCGACAAAACAATATGCTGGAGTCAAATGGCAGTCGTTGTTTTTGTTTATTATTAATTGAGCCATGAGGAGGAGGAGGGGAATGAAAGAATTTGAAACAATTGGTGCGCATTGGCCGCGGAATCAGGGACAGGGGGGATTTCCCTCCCAGAAATTCGGCTAAACTCGTATATATCTTTCCATGTTAATAACTCCATCGTCCATTCCTTTGGTCCCCATATCCCCCCCCCCAACTTCCGCCGCCACTGCGTCTGCGTCGTCGTTTTACTTACACGACCAATTTATGCATGGTGCTGGAACTGGCACGATTTAAATTGTGATCATCACATTACTGAAGTGTTTCCCTCTGTTAAATTGGTAGTAACGGGGAGTGATTTGATGTATTGTATGTATGACAGTGGCCGCGGAAGCCGTGGGGACAGAGTCAGAGGACAATGTCCCCACGGTTATTCGGTGTCCCCATCATCTCCTCATGTTACATAAATCCCGCCCTCCCCTATCCTACAATGTTAATGTCCCCAGATGTCCCCACGGCCACTGATGTATTCATGGCGTAGCTGGAAATAAATGGCATGTTACGTTACTTACGTATTTACGTTGTTATTTCATTATCCGTTATTATTGTTGTTAGTTGTTGTACGTACAATAAGTGCCAAGTTTGGACGGACGGACTCGACTAATAATAACGGTAACATATAAACTAAATGGTACTTATGTACGTATTTATTTTGGTTTTTGATACGATGGCGATGCAGCATTCCGTATCTTTTTTATGATCACGAAAGAGGCAAGATTTAGATTGCACTTTGTACCAATAAAAAATAAATAAAATGGAGAGGAGATTGGATTGCAATAATAAAAGGCAGGATATTATAGCACAGCGCTGCCTGTGTCGCTCTATTGTTCTGTTACTTATTGCTGTACTATATAATTGTTACATATTTTTTTTAGGGTTGAGTTTACGTAGAGATTGCGAGATTGGTAGGTAGGGATTTACATATCTATGCAAATATATTTAGGAGAGGAGAGGAGAAGGAACGAATCTAAAATATGTATCGCAGATCGCTGTGTAGATGATCAGTGGCCGCGGAAGCCGTGGGGACATCTGGGGACGCTAACACTGTAGGATGGGGGGAGGGAGGGGTTTATATAAGATGGGGAGATGATGCGGGCATCGAACAACCGTGGGGACATTGTACCCGCGGTCACTGGTAGATGAAATGAGACGATGATGTTGAAATGGGCTACGTGTGTGCAGTTTAGTTTAACTCTGTGCATGTATTTATTATCTAACTAGCGTATAGCCCGGCCAAGGCCGGGTTCTAGAGTTCCAGTGGGGGGTGTGCCCAAAGCGAAAAATCCGTCATACTATACTTTAAATAATTCCCAGTGGAGACTTTGTCATACCACATACATACATCAGAGTGAGGGTTTGCCCAAGTCATACTGCATTTTAATTAATCTGGTCACAGTACAATTTGATTTCCCTCTGTGGGAGTAGTTGAATAGCTAATTACTTAAATTCCCGTCGCGTGGGAGTAACTGCATAGCTAACTATTTAAATTCCCACGCTCCCGTTAAGTTCCATAAACCCCGTTAACTTCTACAATTAACGCCAAGCTATTGACGGATTCGGATTCAGCGGCAAAAATACATTCGAATTGATGTGCGACATCACTAATAAGCCATATTTGGACACCACGGTCACGGCAAGGTCACGGGGGTCTCGCAGGTTGAAACCATTGGCGTTGGATTCACCGTCAAAAATACATTCGAATTGATATGCCACTCGCTGTGGGTGGAGTTTCTCAAACTAAAATAATTAATTAATAGTGTTTATCACGATCACTTATCATGATAACCACCATTGATGAGTGATGTATGTATGTGGGGTAGCAGTATGTACATGTTCATGCATGCATTCATTCATGCAGTATAGTGCATGCATGCAGTCGTCCGCTTCCTTCTTTGTCTCCTCTATGGGGCAACTTGCATTACGAAGACGGACCCAGGGACCCAGGGATCATACTAACACTTTATTAGAGTTGATAAGGAGTTGGAGTTGATGTGCATAATGTGCAACAAGAAGAGAAGGAAGAAGAAAACCTTATCTATTTACAGTTACTTCAGTATTTAGGGAGATAAATAGATGGGAGAAATTGTTATGAGAGAAGAATGCACGTGTTGTGAGAATGGGCTTCGTCGTTAAGGTGGTCGTGGTGGTATGGTGTGGTTGATTGGTTATTTAGGCAAATTAGGTGATCAAGTTAATAGTTAGTTATCAACAAAAGTTACCAACAAAAGTGCTCGCGTACATGGGGCAAAAGGTTGACAAATTTCAAGTCATTGTATAATGTATCAAAAAAGTTGAGTCAAAGTGAGATTAAGTTTTAATATGGAGTGGCCGCGGAAGCTGTGGGGACATCTGGGGACATTAGCATTGTAGGATAGGGGTAGGGAGGGGTTTATATAGCATTGGCGGATGATGATAGGAACATCGAATACCCTGTGGGGACATTGTCCCTCTGTTCCGCGGCCACTAGTTTTATTCTCCCAGTTTACTTTTTTTGGATGGACCTGCTCCTTTTGCTTGTGATTTAATGGCGTCAAGCCTGCATCGCATCCATGTAAATAAGTGTCGTCAAAAAAGAAGTCGCCATCATTAGGCCAAAAAAATAAAAGTCGAGCATATGATGGTGATAACAATGACGCAGGCGGTGGCGGCGGCGGCGGCGGTAGGGATTATGGAGAGAGAGAGAAAGAGGAGGAACAAGTTAGTTCGTTTTGGTGATGGTGACGAGGTGACACGATGCTGATGATGCTGGTTGGTGGTATGTGTGGTGCAGGTTGCATTCCTACTTGGTTTCATGGCGCAGTGCCAAAACCCTCCTGGAGAGCAAATCTTCCATGATGTTGCTTTTGCTTTGGGTAGAAATAGCAGACCTTTTTGGCTCGGGGTTTACTGTATGGTTGACTAAAAAACAGCATGTCACTTACTTATTTAGGAGGATATAATAATGATAATATGTATCTTTTTACGCTATGTCGAATGTCGTCGTCGTTGATGATGATAGTACAAGGAAAACTTGAAGTTTCTTTTTTGTTCCTGCATATTTTTCGACGCGGAATATGTGGAGAAACAGGGGCGGCGGAAGCAGGGGGACC